CCCGCCAGTAAACGTTACGACCCCCTTGACACGACATTTTAGACAAAATTTTAATGTCCCAATGTTTCCTTATTTTTGTACAAACAAAAAACAAAGCTTTAATCGATGAGTTTTTATAGTATTTAGTATACTACAGCGAATCCAAGATATATGAATACATACTCATTTTTACGCGACATTTGATCTTTAATATGTAATACGACATCATAAAACAACTCTTGCTATGTATTCATATATCTGGGATTCACTGTACCATTCTACAGAGAAAATAAGTCACTTTCTAATATCTGTCAGACAATTAAAAAGTCATTTTCTGCTGTAGTGTTACAATACTAGGCTTCCAGTGCGCTTCACGATCATCTTCGATTTTAACTATTAATTGTTGTTAATAATTGTTTTATCGATTTTTTCGTGAATTTTAAAAAATCGTAATTTTTAATGGCAAATTAGTGAGGTCTCATAAAAAAATGAGCCCAGTCGGTTTAACCATTTTGACGTTTATCGGCTACAAACAAACAGACAAGCAAAGTATATATATTATATATAAATAGATAAGTCTACAAGCTAATCATTCTCTTAATCCAAACAAGGAAAATACTGCATTGAAAGGTCAAAATATGGCAAAATAGTGAAATGTTCACTTAATATTGTCGGACATGTTTTCATTCCCCTATCCACCCCTTCTTATTGTCCGTCTCTCTCACAACATTTAAATGTCCCAATTTTCCTTCATTATCGTCCAAAGGTGTACACACAAAACTCAAAAGGAAAAACGATTTTTATATAAGCTTCAATCTTCTATTTCAATTGTGAATTTTTTTTTGTATAAAATGTAAAACAAAAGCAAAAAATAGTTTGCGGATTTTATAAAAATTTTGTTGTGGATTTTCAAAATTGAAAATGAAAATTAAATTTTGAAATTTTGGTCATCTATAAACCTTCCATAGGGTCATGTGAGGTCCCACACCGGGCCCGTTTTGACGTTTATTTGATACAAACAAACAGACTGACATCCAGACAAGTAATGCATATTTAGGAGGAATCATAATTATCAGTATCATGATACAGACAAGATGATAATCAGATAATACAGAGTAAAGTAAACCCTCTCTTATCATCTATTGACTAATTTCAAATCCATTCCCTGCTTCAGTTTAAAAATATCATTCAATATTGTATATCCTAATCACTCTCGTTATCCTCATTTTCTTCTTGATCCTCTTGATCCTTTTCATTTCTTATTTTTCTTGATCCTCTTAATACCTTTAATCCTCTAGATTATCTTGATCTTTTTCATTTCTTATTTCTCTTGATCCTCTTTATACCTTTCATCCTCTAAATTATCTTGATCCTTTTCATTTCTTAATCCTTCCTCCTTCTCTTATTAAGAAAAGAGAGAAAGCGAAAAATTTATGTGTGATAGATCAAATTGTGATCAAAAGGATAAGTAAATCTGCTTGGCCCGAAAGAATGGATGTTTTTATGATAGTTTTACTTGCAAACTTAACAATTCACATAATTTGAGACCTTTGTGTATTCTTTCATTCTTAAGTCAAGTTTTTACCAATCACCCTTGAGTTTGAGCCACACAGCGGAAGAAATTAATATGTCTGAATATTACATTTTGTCTGTTAGATTGCACAGTAAGAAGTTGAAGGGTAGTTATGAGCTTGTTTTATAGAAAACTACCAGCCACGGGTTTTCACATTCGTAAAGTTTTGATGATTCTATCAAAAAATATCAAATCTTCTAATCCATATATCTTATCAACCTGAGGGTGTATACCTTTGATATTTCAAACTTAGATCAATAGATCTAACAGAATTAACAGTTTGAAATAACTAAGGTCTACGACATTGGGTTGAAAAGATATACAGCTTAGAAACTTAGAGTTTGTGACAAAGACTCAATTCCTCTAAACCATTTTCAAAAGAAAAAAATACATGAAAATTTTCGAAAAATTTCAAAAATGTTTTTCTTTGTAGAAATTTGTTTTCTCAAACTTTAATAGCTCCTGAATTAACTATATTTTGTAAATAACGTTGAACCAATCAAAGAGTGTATACAATCTAAAGACATGAAAAAAATGATGTTTAAAGGAATTAGTAAATATTTTAGTACTTATTATAATTCTAACTATTTAAGCCCCTGCAGAGACTTCTAATTAAAAAAATAGGTATGCCTTCATTTTCCTAAATGATTTTCAAGATTACTAATTCTTTTTTTGAATGGAAAATATTGTAAGATTATTTTAGACTTTGATGCATGTATATATTTGTATACAACGTAGTTTTCTATGTTTGTCTGTTTGTTTTTATGCCCGATCAAAGTTATGAATGGCCTTTTTTCTGCTGAGGTATATTTTACGTATCTTTTATAGTTTCAATATACATGGATTGGCTTGGATTAGCTTCATCTGGAAACTAAGTTTTCCCTTTAAAAGTTTACCAACACAACTTAGAACTTTCAAACCAAACTAAGAACACTCCTGTGGATCTAACAAGTTACCAAATCAAAATTTGAGGCAAATTGGTTGAAAGGTTAATGAGCTTTGATCAGAAAAATAAACAAATCTACAAACATAGATTACTACTTTGTGCATATGGATGTGCAGGATTGGACCTAAAAATACGGTTCGCTGAACCATGAGAGCTAGAAACTAGAATATTCTCCGGGTTTAAGCAAAGTACAAGTTATAAAGTGACAAGCTAGGAACGGTTGAACAGGTATTTAAGGATTTAATGCAAAAAGCTTTCTAGTTTTATACAGGCGGATATTTTAGTGTCGGCACTGTAATATTTTAGTGTTGGTCCTGTAATATTATAGTGTTGGTCCTGTAATATTTTAGTGTTGGTCCTGTAATATTTTATACAAGGTCTAAAAAAGGATATACTTGAAAATTAAACTTGTATGGCTTGTAGTTCCTTCTAGAAAAGTACGACCATGAATTTGAGTAAATTGAGCATGAATAAAGATTTCTAAGGAAAAGATTTCAAAAAGTTGTTTAAACTTTGGGAAGGCATTTGATCAGAATAAAATGCAAAATTTATATCCAATATTAACTCGTTGTTTTGCACGTTGCATGTTTTTGTATTTGCATGCTTGCATGCTGCTGGAGTAGATGTTAGTTAATTACTCTGCAAAGTTCACTCAATTTGGATAATACATAATTATTAACTCAACATTAATATTCAGTTTTGCAGGTTAAAGGCCACGCATTTTGTTTTTTGTTTGCGCCATTATCATGAGTAAGCGGCATTTTGATTAGTTTGCGCTGTGCTGATTTATTCGGGTACCAATTTGATTAGCGAGCACCATTTCGATTACTGTGCACCATTTTTATTAGCAGGGGCCATTTTGAAAACGAGCGCCCTTTTGATTGGTGTGCGCCTTTTTGATTACTAAGCGCTATTTTGAACAGGCCCAATTTTGAAAATAACAAGCGCAGTTTTGATAAGTGAGCGTCGTTTGGTGTGCGCTATTTTGAGTAGAAGAGTGGTAAACCATATATAGTTTATCTAAATCATGAAAAAAGTGATCATTCGAATCAGAAATCAGAATCTAAGTTCAAAAATCTTTTCTCTTAATTACAGTTCAGGCAGATATTTCAAGAAAGGAGAGATTAATAATTTGCGATGCATTTTCTTCAACCCTTTACCTTTTCTCTCCCCCCCTGGCCTTCGTTTAAACTTTTACCTCCCTCTCCATACTTCAATCAAATTATCACTTCATACATCATTATTTTACGAGGCAATTATGACAATCATGACAGCTTTGAATAATAAAACTTGCGTGAACAATTCTAATAGTTAAAGAGGAACGTTCGCAAAAAAAGGAGTATACTGAATAAAACAAAATTTGGTCGTTAATTATTTATATTAACAGTTTTGTACCAGACAATTTTATTTAAAATTAGACATTTTCAGACTCCATATATAAGGAAGGAGGTTTCATACCTGTATTATTTTAAATAAAAGCATTGTCTTACGATTGAATCATAATTTAATTCTGGTTATTAATCTTATACCCTCTTTCATTTTCCGCAAACAAGAAGGAATGCATACAAAACCTTGTCTGTGTATTTATCCAATATACAACTAATTAAATACTTTTCTAGTAATGGTAAATACAGTGAGACCCTTAACACTGAGGAATATAAAGACGACACTATTATGATTTAATGTATATATATATATAAAACAATGAACATAAAACATAGCAATTGTGTAGTTGATTTTCAACCTTTTGGTAATATCATTCCCGACATGTTAACACATGATATTGATAATTTGTCGTTTTACAATTCCACAGCACTACTAAATAGAATAAATGAGTTGACTACCTGAGATCATACCCTGAGAACATATCTGTCGAATCCTGAGTAACTCTGTTATAATAATCCTCTCCGTGACTGTAGAATCCAAAAAATGAATCGAACCCCCTCCTACAGCCATATTTTCATCAGGCACTTTATTCAAAAGAAACTTTTTTATGACAATTAATTTAGGGGGTGACCTCTGCGGAAAGGGGGGAAATTGACGAATATCTCTCCCCTTTTTCTTTACGGATATCCACAATGCATTATTCAAATTAAAAATGTTGAAACACATAGCAAACATACCTTCATGTGGTGAGTAAAAGCATGAAGGAAAACGTGTAAAGATNAAGGGGGGGCGACGGGTTGGAAAAATAGGAGAAAATATATTCTAAAATCGTAAAAGTGGAAATGCCCCCCCCTCTCTACTCCAACAGTATAACTTTTTACACAGGCTTCAGTAAAAGGGTACAGAGTGTGAAATGCCAATTGAGATATCAAAAACTTGTTTGGTTAATGCACTTCAAGATCTAAATTGTTGACAGTTATGCCTCATTTTCAGGCCTGGATTTCAGGCCAAGTTTATCAGGGAACTCATTATACTGCGTATACTGAGCAAAAAGGTCTTTAGGTTCATACAAAAACAGGTCATGATCTGATCTATCATCCGAATAAATGGGTATTCCAAGGTTCAGTTCTTTAATCAAATGTTTTCCAGAAACCTCTGGTTTTTTTTTGTGATTCAACTGATAGGATACTGTTATTTCAAGTTACTAATGAACAACAGATCAGGTCATCTGATATAGGATCCGTCTAAAGGTTCAGTTCTGCAAACAAATATATTTTCGAAACCTTTAGGTTCTTTTTGATTTAAAAGCTATTAATAAACTAAAGAAAAAAGGTCATTAGATATATCATCCGACTAAAAGGGGTTTTCCAAGGTTCAGTTCTGGAAACAAATATTTTCTAGAAACTGAAAGGATATCTGGGGGCAGTGATATTTCGGTCTTGTAATAAACTAAACAAAAATATTTCTTTTACGATCTTTGATAGAAGAAATTCTGCTAAAAAAAGATAAAATACATAATTTACCCCTTATTAATATCAACTTATTTATATATTTTAATATTTTTAAATATTATTTAAAAATGTCACAAAATATGGACATCCCTGTTTAGTGTACTTTGTACACCCACATAAAAGAGTTTCTAAACTGGATTTAGTATAAATTGATATAAAAAGACTAGAGAGAGGGAGCAAAAAGATAATCCGAAGATTAAAATATGTTTTATCCAATTAAAAACAAGAAAGGGGAGATGTAACGAAAGAAAAGAAAATAAGATTTAAGCCTTTAATACAATTGTAGGAAAAGGGGGTTTAGAGAATTATTTGTTTGGTAACCGCCAAAAAAGTCCTTGGGAAAAAAGTTTCCGGAAAAAAGTCCTAAACTTTCACACTAAAAAAGTCCTGAGGAAAAAAAGTCCTTGTATTAAAAAGTCTCCGGAAATAAAGTCCTACCAATTCGAGACTTTTATTTTCTAGGACTTTTTTTCTGCCTCCAGTATGATTTATACAAAAAAGTCCTCTGAAAAAAGTCCTCTAACAAGTGAAAATGCATGATTCACAATGGGAAAAAAGTCCTGGTTGTAAACATCCTATGAATAATCGTAGGTTTTCAGGGGCTTGATATTTAAACACCCCTGGCTATATATATATATTTAACATGGAAAAAAGTCCTTTTTATGAAAACTTCTCAGGTGTACTGCAACTGTATGTTGGCAAGGGTAAATAATTTTCAAAAGAAATATAAAATATATTTATTTCATATGTATATTTATCACGAGTTTAGTTAGCTTTTTTTCATATTATTTAAGAATATAAAACTAGCCCTGTATATGATGTATATAGTACAGTTGTACAGGGGACTTTATACACAACTTTTCGTAGGACTTTTTTTCCGCAGACTTAAATTACTGAGTTCAAATTTCCCGATACTCAGGAATTTTTTTCTAGGTTTTTCTTTTCCTCGGATTTATTTTCTTCAGAACGTTTTTTTCCTGAGATCTTATTTCCTGAGACTTTATTAGCAGCACTCATACTATTTTAGGAAAAAAGTCCCAGGACTCCAAAACACAGGACTTAATTTCCAGTGACATTTTTTCAAGGACTTGATAAAATTCGGACTTTTTTTCCAAAGTTTTTATTTCCAGGTTTTTTTCCCCAGAAACTTTTTTTCCCGGGACTTTCTTACATAGATTCACTAGATTATCTTTACTTAGTTGGAAAGTAAGATATTTAAATAGTAAAGAGACGTTGATGATTAAATTGCTTGGATTTTCCCATGGTAGAATAGATAGGAAGGTAGAACGGTGGTGGTTAGAAAAAGGGCATAAGTGTTATAGGGTCATGTATAAATATATGTAAAATATATATACATATATATTTTCCGTGCATTAAAATATATTTTTAAGAACAAAAAATCAAGGTTCAGTGGTTGGATGGAGATTGCTTGCACCGTTTTTGTACACTTAAAATTTACTGACTATATACTGTTATTGGATATCATCATTGCGAAAAGAGGGGGGATAGGGCTTGTTTAAATTTTGATGAATGTATCAGGATGGAACTAGCTTTATTGCGAACAATTATAACATTGTTTTGAAATTTATCAGTGAGACGAAGCAGGAAAAAAGAATCGGGTATGAGCTATTATGGTTACAAATTGTTTGTTTACAATAAAACTGGTTCTAAAGCTGTCCTAATTCGTCACTGTAAAATGTAAACTATTGCTCTGATGAAATCTATTCCTGGTAGGTGTATAGTCCCAACTGCAGTACCCTAAATGCCATTTCCCGACTGCATGAGTTGAATACCCTGCGTTTTGTAGATGGTTTGAGATCAATGGATACTGTGTGGTGAGTCCCGTTGGCATCATTGGAGATAAACTCTCGTGCTGTCGACCCAGCCGATATGGGTACAGGCCTGAATTAGATACAGTGTACAGGTGCGGTACAGGCCTGAATAATATACAGTGTACAGGTACGGGTACAGGCCTGAATAATATACAGTGTACAGGTACGGTACAGGACTAAATAATATACAGTGTACAGGTACGGGTACAGGCCTGAATAATATACAGTGTACAGGTACGGGTACAGGCCTGAATAATATACAGTGTACAGGTACGGGTACAGGCCTGAATAATATAAAGTGTACAGGTACGGGTACAGGTCCGAATAATATACAGTGTACAAGTAAGGGTACAGGGCTAAATTGTGTACAGTGCACAGTGTACAGATACGGGTACAGTGTGCAGGTACAGGCACAAACCTGAAGAGTATATGGCGTACATGTACACAGGTCTGAATAGTATTCAGTGTACAGGTACGGGTACAGGCCTGAAAAGTATACATTGTAACTTAGGTTACAGAGGCAGGAATGCATTAATTTTTAATTAATGTAAAATTTATACTTGATCAGACAACGCTTCCAAGAGAACCGTTGTGAATCGGACATTGCCATCTTGGCATGGATGATCTTGAAATTAAAGGGACTGTAAAGGAAAAATGAAAGGGGGTATATGATGAAACCTGAGAATCTCAGGCGTTGAACGATACATATAAGAAATCTATCTGATGTTCCTGTCTCGAGAAATTAATATATAAATGTGTCAAAATTTTACGAAAATTCATATATATACAATTTTGTATAAAAGTAGTAGGTTTAAACAGGTCATATTCAGCAAATATGCAACCAATCTAAAAACGATTATATCCCACAGGAGCCTGAGAATCTCAGGTTTGCTCCTATAGTATACCGGTCATGTGATACTGACAGAAATCACATGACCAGTATACTGCACTGCCATTGACTGAAGTTCTGGTGACGTAATACGGACTATACGGACTATATGTAATAACACTATCTATTATATTTATTAAAAGTGCAAAATAAAAAGTTTTAATAGGACATAACCATGAATGAACGGCGCAACTAAGACATAACAATGAAGGAAGTGGCGCAACTAAGATATAACCATGAATAAAGTGGCGCAACTAAGGCATACTCAAGAGTTAACGGCGCAACTAAGACATAACCACGAAGGAAGTGGCCCAACTAAGACATAACTATGAAGAAAGCGGCGCAACTAAGACATAACCATGAATGAAGGTTCTAAACTAAGACATAGTCTTGAAGGAAGTGGTGCAACTAAGACATAACCATGAATAAAGTGGCGCAACTAAGGCATACTCATGAATGAACTGCGCAAGTAAGACATAACCACGAAGGAAGTGGCCCAACAAGACATAATCATGAATAAAGTGCAGGCGCAACTAACCATAACCGTGAATGAAGGTTTTAAACTAAGACATAGTCTTAAAGGAAGTGGCGCAAATAAGACATAACCAATAACCATGAATAAAGTGGCGCAACTAAGCCATACTCATGAATTAACGGTACAAGTAAGTCATAACCACGAAGGAAGTGGCGAAACTAAGACATAGCCTTGAATAAAGACTAAAACATAACCATGAAATGGTGCAACTAAAACATAACCATGAATGAACTGGCGCAGCTAAGACTAACCTGTGAGTAAAGCTGCCCTGCTGGGGGCACATTTTGGTTGAGTATAGTGCTGTTCTAGTATAATGCCCGTAGAAGCCAGCTTCTGAAATATAGGGTTTTGGAATTCGAGGGATTAGGTCAAAGAACTGTAACAAATTTCTAAGAATTTAGGATTCAAAACCTTTTCTCATACTTTAGGTTTGTGTTCTACTTCTCACGTGCACTATCAGTGCTGACCATGCAAAGAATTAGTTCCGGATTTTCATAAATTTCAAACTTGTATATTTTATAGATCTGTTGTATATTACTAGACCTTGAATCACAAGCGCATACAATGCCTGAATTGCTTGAATCTATGGGTTTATTACAATTTTTTTGTTAATAAGGTTTTACGTATGTACAATGTACATGAATCTTTATGAAGAAAAAATATAATTGTTCGAATACGTGTATATTCAAGTCAGGCAAGGCCCGAAGACATGGGAACATAGGTATTAAATATACATGGGAACATAGGTATTAAATATGCATGAATTGTGTAAACTATATTTTAAAGCCTTAGTTTTTCCAAAACAGTCTTGCAAATTTTATTCTACCTATTTCCTTGAATATTTTAAAGGAAACTTGGATATCTATAGTGAAGTGAATCCTCTCAATAAAAGTGCTGGAAACTTATTGGATATTTAAAGCAAGATGGATATCCACTCAAAATTAATATATCTATTCTTCGGAAACGGAACTAGAGCATCCTTGATAGCATGGTATCCAAAAATGATTCATACAAATGTTTCTATCCATCCGTACATGGTTTCCATTGATATCAAAGATGTGTATTGACATTTGATATCCAAGATTTATATAGATATCCAAGGTGTATATTGATATCCAAGATTTGTATAGATATCAAAGATGTATATTGATATTCAATATTTTTATAGATATCAAAGGTATATATTGATATCCAAGATTTGTATTAATGTCCATGAGCTGTGTATAGATATCCAAAGTGTATATGCATGTATAGATATCTAAGTGTGCATTGAATAAATATCCAATTTGTGTATAGATATCAAAGGATTTTATTTACATCCAATTAAATACAATTGCACAAATTCATAGAAAGTTCTGTATTCGCTGCATATGCATTTTTGCATTGTTCTGAATCCGTTTTCTCAAGTTCTGCGAAATTGTTTAGTTTTGTTGAAATTCAAGGCTGGAGTAAGATAATGTGTTGAGTACGCGTATAATTCCTCCATATGGTGGAATATCACAGTGTGTCTCAACCATGGATATCGGATAAACCAGTAAACGGGTCAGTTGTGTTTATCGGGTTTCAAACATGTCGGTACGTAATATTTGAAAAAGCTTTTTGCCACAACATTTATATGTACTCAATTTCAACCACATGTACTTTAAAATTCTGTAAGAGTTGTAAAGACTGATTAGATGTACTTTTCATGTACTTCATATATACATCGAATGAGACGTATTAATATACGTTTAATCTAAATCTTTTTTTCTCTGCGTGGTTTTTTTTTGCCAAAAAAGACATAACCCATGTTTTTGTAAGCATGCGTAATAAAGTGGAATAAATTAAATTTTATGATAATATGGTTTGTATGGAACATTATGGAACTGCACTTAAACCAGAAATATTAGATCCTGGTTCTAAATTTACTTCAAACTAACCAGCAATTTGACGTCAAATTTATTCTGCAAAATAATCATCTTATTCTGTAAAAACATTTTTGGTGCCTTTTGTTTTAGCATCATCCTTTCCATATCATAAAAGGGAGGGGCCCCGGGGGGAGGGGGGTCAATTCAGTAAGATAATGGAAAAATAAAAGAAAGAACCCCTCCGGATATTATCTTGTCTCAAATGTCAAGTTCTTCATACAAAAACTTTTTATTTTTAACCAACAATTATCTTGTCTATCTATCCATCTTTTTATCCTAGTAACACCCATTCAAATCTGATATTGATACTCTGGCATATTTTTATTGGGTTACTAGATAAGAGGCAGGATAGAGGTAGGTTAGAGGCAGGATAGAGGATTATCTTTACTTAGTTGGAAANAAATCTGGTTGTTATCTGATCGTATTTCTTAATGCTACACAATAGAGATATAAGGGAATACTTATGGTAATATCAAATCTACGAGTATAAACTAGAGATATCCATCATATGTCACGTGATGTTTGTGTTGACCATCAAAACAGCTGTTTATGATTTGACCTGAATGTTTTGAGATAAACAAACAAGATTAAGTTTAAATTTAGCCGCGTTCTGCCGCGCAGTAGATTATATTAAGATAAGACAGAGTTCATTAATTAAGATTGCACGCCCAGTTTTAATGTTTTTTTTTCTGATGAGCATGCGACATGTTTTTACAAGATACAGGGATACCCCAAAAAGATGAGACTTCAATGACGACTGTACGGATTTTTAGCCTTTTTTCTTTAAATGATATATTGATGTTTTTGATCACGAGATTTACACCACAAAAGTTACGCAAGTTATGTAAAGTTAAGTTATGTAAATTAAAGTTTGTTTATTGAATATGTTTTAAAACAGAACAGATCTGAATTACCAATATAAAATAAACCACAAATTTATAATTGTTCTATTCTTACAGCTTTGAAATAAAGCAAAACCAGAGATGAGATTTTAAAAGCTTAAACCCGACTAAAACCCGGTCTTTGCGTCTTCTTAGACCCAGGTAAAGCTCAAGTCAAGACCCAGGTTTTGGATGGCCTTGAGTTTGATAAGAACCAACCCTCTTGGGTTTTACTCTCTTTAAGGCTCGAGTCTTCAACAGCTGAGGATTGTAAATTTCATAAAATCTTTTATATTTGTACATTTAAAATCTCGGGAATTATTTGTGGTGTCAAATTTTGTTAATTATATAAAATAAACATACTATGAAAATAATGTATCTACAAAAAGTTTGAATTATCGAAATTTACATCTCCTTAATTGTCACAGCTGATCTGACGGCAATCTGTCTGCTACAGAGAGAAAGATTGCAAAACAGTCTCTCATTGGTCGAATCAGAACCAATCCTGACTTGGGTTCTATCTAAGCCCGAGTTTGGGTTTTAGTCGGGTTTAAGCTTTTAAAATCTCATCTCAGGAAAAATGTAAAGTTCTTGTATCTTTTCAACATATTTTCATAACTTTTCATCTAAAAAGCACCCCTCAAACTGTTCTCTGAGCGAACTGAAAATAATAAAATAATAAAATAAGAAAAATGTTGATTTTACACAATTCTTTTGAACAGTTTATTACACCCAATATAAAATTCAATGACCATTTCTTGAAAGCATGCATCATATTTAATGCAATGATTAGGTTGCACTTTCAGATCAATAAATAAATGCAATTGATGGTTTGTAAACCTTCTTGGAACATTGCGAACAAACGAATGTGTAAGTTAGGTAGAAAATGAAGATGAAAATGATCCAAGCACAGACATTTTAAGAAGAAAAGGGTAACGTATGAACAAATTGTGGACACACTGTAAAAAATGCACCAATTAAGACGTACTGTAAATTAAGCACTTACAAGAATGCACGGTAAGGAAGGCACTTGTAAGGACGCACTGTAAAGAACGCACTAATTAGGACGCACACTGAAGATTCACAAAAGTGTGACACACATACATCGTCGTAGCTTCATGTATTAGGATATAGGAATAATGAATATTAATGAGACGCGCGCCATTGAGACGTTTTTTACTAAACCAAATGCGTATCCTAACTCCTAATAAATGGTCTTTAGGACACACATTAATGGGGCCACTTACATTACTTTCTAGATTACTGTCACCCAGACAGTAATTAAAATATGCATTTGAATTCCTTTAGAGTCAACCCATGCGTTCATTTGAAGGTTATTCACATTTATTAAAATGGAAAAGTTTTGATTTTATATTCCTATATTTGTGTTTTAACGAATGGAAGACATGTTCAGTTTCAACTCATCTTCAACTGAACCAAGCGTTTAAGCGTTTAATTAAAGTTAAAACCAAAACACAAAATAACACACAAAAATTCATAACGGCCGTAGCCATGAGGTTTTAAAAATACCAGTAGTCCCACAAAACAAAATCTGTCTTTGGATATAAATAGGATAACTACGTCAATATTAAGTTTAGTGTAAACTGTGGACTCATGGTAGACGACATTGAAACTTATTACATCAACTATAAAGGCTCTGTTCAAATTGCTAAATTGATATGTATCATGTATATTGGACTTTTTAAAGCCCTGAACTTGAATCTAAAAGTTGACTTCCGATTCCAGGGTTTTCTGGTTATCACTGTAGTAACTTATTAAATAATTTATCAAGTGCTATAGGTACGTTTACCCAAAACTGATGTTTCTCATGTTTCTTGCACTATTTAAAGCATCAAAATTGGGCCTACAAGTCGTCTTCCTATTCTGAAGTTTTCTGGTTTTCGCTGCTATAGGATCAGGATCTGGATTCAGGGTACAGCAGACCTTGTTATTGTTCACTGTCCAGTGCATAAACAGTTTTCTCCTGATTTCCGAGAAGCAGAGGTTGCAAATTCATTTGCAAAATTATTCACGGACAGTGCGTAATGTACTGCAAACTAGGACTGGGAAGTTGGAACCTTTTCAAGCCGTTTATTCACGTCACGTAATTAACCTAATTGTTTGTTTTTAACTAATTAATGTGACGGTATTTTCTTTTCGTCGTGAACGAAAAATGATTTGAAGAATTTTTATCTTAAATTAAAAAAAACGTTTTTGTTAGGTTTGGCAAAAACAAATGATAAAACTGTTCGTTTTTTAATAATTATTTTCGTTTGTGAACTATCAATTTAACGGTTCTGTTCCTTTCCGTAACTTAATTTTCGGTTAATTTTTAAAAACTTTATTTACCGGAACTTATGTCCATCCCTACTAGTAACTTGTAATATTAGGAAAGGAAAATTTGAGAAGTTAAACAAATGTTAATTGTAAAAGTAAACATGAAACCAACTCTTGAATTCATGTCCATATTGTCCAATACGTCAACCTTATTTTATTTCTAAAACTTTAAAATTTCTTCTTTAAATGTCAAATCACAATTCTATAGAGTATTGTGA